GTGTGAGTGTGTGTGTGAGTGTGAGTGTGAGTGTGAGTGTGTGTGTGTGTGTTTGTTTGGCTGATGTTGGTCCAAGTTGAATGTTTTTGGGGTTTTGGCCTTCTGCCCCGCTCACATGACCAGCCAATCAGCTCTCGCCAACAGTTCATCTCTCAGCCAATCATCAGAGGTATCTCTCACACGCCTCAGCTCAACCAGTTCTCACCAAAACTCTTAATTTGTTTTGTTTTTTCCCTCAACTTGTCCGAACAAAACTCTGACTTCAGTTCTTTCTGTGAAGGCCTTCAACTTCAGTCATTGACTCAGATCTATTCTATTCTATTCTATTCTATTCTATTCTACTGTATTCTATACTATTCTGTGTATACTATTATAATCTATTCTATTCTGTTCTATACTTTAACATTATAATCTATTCTATTCTGTTTTATTCTGTACTATTCTATTCTATACTGTTGTAATCTGTTCTATTCTCTTCTAGTCTATTCTGTTCTATTCTATAATTATCTAATATGTTCTATTCTACTCTATACTATTATCTATACTATGCACTTCTATTCTATATTATTTTAATTTGTTCTGTTGTATTCTATTGTATATTATGTTAATAGGTTCTATTCTGTTCTATTCTATATCATGCTAAATGGTTCTATTCTATACTATTCTATTCTAGTAGGTTCTACTCTGTTCTATTTTATTATTTTCTGTTCTGTTCTATTCAAATCAGTTCTATTTTGCTCTATTCAGACAAATATAGAGTATGAGCTGTTAGTTTGTCTCACTCCTTCAGTTTCAGACGCATACTTAACGCTTTTGGCTGTAAACATGCAAAACAAGAACATTTTGCCACTGCAGAATAAAAGACTGTTATTGAAGAGACAGTCTCTGAGATGAAGTCCTTATATCTCGTTTTTAAGTGAATTCATCTTTTCTTAACATGTTTAGATAGCGTTTGCGGTTTATCGTCTCTCTTAGTGTAATTTCTCATTCTTGCTGTAGCATGTTTATGAAGTGAACACACACTCCTTCTTCAGCGATGACATCACGAGGTTCTGTCAGGTCAGAGCTGCAGATCTGGGATCAGTCAAACACACCAGGAGGTCAAAGGTCAGAGCTCAGGGAGTGTTTGCAGGAGGATCCAGTTACCCTGAACCCTGCTAACCCACAAACACACCGTGAGCCGTGATTGGTGCCTGAAAACCCACCTCGTCCAATCAGACAGCATCTCACAGCACTGCAGATGTTTGTGTGTGTTTGTTGTTCTGGCTGAACTAGTTCTTATCTACACACACAGACAGCGTAATTCAACAGGCGAATGAACATACTAAACAATGTTTTATTAAATATATAAAAATGCTGAGGGTTATGTTTAGTGTTACGGGTTAGAAAATATCATTAGCTCAGTGTAAAAACCAGTACGCCTATAGAAAGAGTGTGTGTGTGTGTTGGGCTGCTAGTGGTTATTTCAGACTGATGGATCATGTTCTGTGTGATTATTTCAGGACATCTGCAGTGTTTGTGTGTCTCCTTTGCTCAGGGGTTTCTTCTTAAAGGAACAGTTCACTCAAAAGTGAGAATTGTGAAAACGTGATCATCCTCAGTTCATCCCAGATTAGGATGAGTTTGTTTTTTCATCAGATTTGTAGAAATGTAGCACTGCATCAGTGTCTCAGCAATGGATACTCTGCAGTGAATGGGTGCCGTCAGAATGAGAGTCCAAACAGCTGATAAAAACATCACAATAATCCACAAGTAATCCACAGCACTCCAGTCCATCAGTTAACATCTGGAGAAGACAAAAGCTGAAACAAATCCAGCATTAAGACGTTTTTAACTAAAATACAAGTCCATAATCCATAATAACGCTTCCTCCAGTGAAAAAGTGTTCTGGTCTGAATCAGGAGAGAAATCTGCACAGATCAAGCAGCGTTTAAACAGCTCTAAACTAATATGTGGCTGGATTTTGATGTGAGAGACAACAGCAGATGAACTTTTTCACTGGAGGAAGCGTTATTATGGATTATGGACTTGTATTTTAGTTAAAAACGTCTTAATGCTGGATTTGTTTCAGCTTTTGTCTTCTCCAGATGTTAACTGATGGACTGGAGTGCTGTGGATTACTTGTGGATTATTGTGATGTTTTTATCAGCTGTTTGGACTCTCATTCTGACAGCAGTGATATATAATATATAAAGCGCTGTATATCTGATCTCAGGGTTCTGGGCGCGTGAACTGGGTCAGATGATCGGGTTCCAGCACCCCACCATCCCAGTGCATCACCAGTACGTCGTCACGGCAACGGTTCCCGAGGTGAAGGCGCTGGAGGCGGAGCTTCCGGTGATTCGGGATCTGGAGGGCTCGTATTACCTGCGTCAGGAGCGAGACGGCCTGCTGTTCGGACCCTACGAGAAGGAGGAGAAGATGAAGCTGCAGGACTCGTGGATCAGAGACGGAGTTCCTCCAGGTCAGCACACGATCACAGAGAGCAGAGCACAGTGAAAGCACAGCACAGTCTGAAATAATCAGGTGTGTGTCGCAGGTTTCGGTAAGGAGCTGTTTGAGTCCGATCTGGACCGGATCATGGATCATGTGGAGAGGGCTATGGAGATGGTGCCGGTTCTGAAGAACGCTGACATCATCAACATCGTGTCCGGACCGATCACATACACACCTGACCTGCTGCCCATGATCGGACCGCACCAGGGAGCCAGAAACTACTGGACCGCCATCGGCTTCGGGTGAACTGCACACACACACGCACACACTCACACTCACACTCACACACACACACCATTACCATAATAAAAAGCCTTTTAGAGCTGACCTATGGCAGGCTCTCATGCATAATAAGGTGTTCAGGAAGAACAGAGCGTAATAAAT